CCTAGTTTTGCTAAAGCATAATTTTTCTATGGGGAATCCTAGAAGTTGAGCTATGCCATTCTCCGAGAAAATTCAATTTAAAACACAAAGTGGGACTGACTACTCTGATGTAAGCTAGCGCTTTATGGAGTAAAAAGCCCTTTTGCTGCTCCATTACAAAATCATGCTTGTCGTTTCTCCACTTCTAATTATTTTAAAAATTTCAAGTGGAGAAATGGAATGTCGGGCCGCCAGAAAACAGTATTTCAGTACTTGCTGATGTTTCCTTCCTAAACAGTGCTGAAAAGATACCAAACCTGCTTAATTATTTGGTCTTCAACACATTCTCGCATTCATAGGCTACCAGCGTTTAAAAGAACCCATCAAGAGAAGGTTCAACAAACTCTCATTCAAACTTGTCCTACTAAATTGCCTTTTTTCCGACCAGACTCGAACCATAGCCTCCGACCCAAGTTTTTCAAGAGTTAACCGCGATTTCAGAACAATGGCATCGACAAATGGAAAATGCATAAGCAGTGATACCACTGTGTTTTGTTTAAAATGCACTAATTTCGAGTAACATTGCTTCGTAATTTTGCAAATTCGCGGGATTTCATGCAAGAACCTAGTTGTCGAAAATACTGTCAGACTCATATCACAGTTCGATAAATGAAACAAAATCAAAAGGTTGGAGATACGAGAGATAAATAAGCCTGTAGAGTAAGGAAAAAAACTTTTACATATGTACAATGGCTATTCATGACATAGCAAAGTAAATAAATAAGTGCTTAATCGCGGAAACTTATGCAACTACCTCATACAATCCAGAACCTAGAGAGAGCTTTTCACTTTATTTGCTCTCTAAATCATCATTCCCTTCCTCTATTGCAAGAACTTCAGATGGCTCAAACTTGATTAATAATTTTATAGAATATTGTTCGAAGCGAGCATTGGTCAGAAATGGCGAGGAAAAGATGACGAGTTGCAAAACGATACTTTTTACATAGTGTCAACCATCGGTTAGTCACCCATTTATTGTGTTTCGGTGTTATAGCGCCCAATTTTGCAGGTTTTCAGCGATGAGGTGGATATGGAAGTGAGCTGTAATTTTTTTTGAACACAGTGAGGCTGATCTTTTATACAAATTTTCGCCAGCCTGCTTCTGAACCTTTTCTTGGCGGACGAGGAGGCGAGGAGGTATTGTATTCAGCTGTATCCCTCTTTAGATTCAATGGCGAAAAAATAATTTGCTTCCTTGCTTGCTCTTCCGATCGGGTCAGATAGCAACTCTAATTATGGAGCGTGACGTCATACGGGTAATTCTGAGGAACTACATGTGAGTCGTGGCGGACATGCTACGAAACGCTTATTTTTTTCCAAGGAAAAGGGCTAGGGAGCGATTTTACAAGGAGCAACCATATAATATATAGGAAGAAAAAAATGAACCTCTGTCCATAAATCTTAAATTATTAGGAGAAGAGATCAGAAATATGTTAAGAAGATTAGGAAACTTTTCTATAATGCTGCTAATAAGTAATAAAAGTAATAGGCAGCAGTGTTGGAAAGCACATCGATTTGTTTTTACAGGTGGATCTCGAGACTGAAACAGGTAAATTCCAACTAAGCTCAATAATAGAAGCAGCTTAGGTGGTGAAAGCCTCTTACAAGTAATCTTAACAATTAAAAGAAATTTACAGCAGATTTTCCAGACAAATCCCAAAATTGGCGTGGCTATACAGGATGTTGAAAAATGACGTGCGCCATGAAAAACGCTCAAATTTAATATCTTGAAAACAAACATTACAAAAAAATTACCTTTGTATAACAGCAAGCCAAAATATTTTATGAATACAAAGAAATGTCGAAATGGCCACTATCAACTATAATGCGTCAATTCCTCAATGGAATATGTTGCGGCGGAGGTAGCTAGTGTCTAAATTGTTACAAATTTTGATCAAGTCTTGTCGCAATTCACCAGATTCTTTACGTTTCGACTCCTAAATGTTCCATAAAGCCCTAAATAGAAAAGTCGAATGAATTGAGATCTGGGCTGCTCATAGGTCACTAATCCTCAAGAGGCGTCTTTGGTACGCAGGAAGTGGATTGTTTCTCCTTGGGCTGGAAGTTAATCGTCTTGAAAGATAAATCTGGATGATTTGCTTCAAAAGGATTAGAGGCAGATGTCACGAGCATGTATTTCGCCATCCTGTATAGCTGTGAAAAGCAATGTTGGGTACAAATCGCATATTTTTCTTATTCCTTGTTTCACCGACATTGCTTGGTTATTGCAAAAAATGTGTATAAAACCAA